GGCAAAGTACCTGTCCGGCTCCTCGTAGAACGGCATGTGGGAGCTGTGCGCGAACTTGGCCCACTTGACGTGCGGGATCCTGGCGAAGAACGGGGCGACGCCGACATCCTGCGCCTCGTCGGCGTCGCCGTTCAGGAGCAGCGTCGCGCACGCGATCTCGTGGAGCCGGTCCAGCGTCGTCCACGTCCGCAGCGTGCCCGTGATGGTGAACTCGGACGGCCCGAGCCTGCGCGCAAGACAGGTAGGTCAGTGAGCGGCGTTCCGCGCGCGCAGGGTAGGACTCACATGGTGCTGTACACGACCGGGTCCTTCTCCATCGCCTCGAACGACTGGTGGATCGTGCGCGGCCACGGGTCGAGCGTGCAGACGTGCTTCATGTAGAAGATGTGCATGCACTCCTGGTACTCCTTGCTGCTCGTCGTGCCCTCCGCCTCATGCTTGCGGATCTTCTGCTGTATGTCCTCCGGGAGCCCGCTCAGCAGCTGGTTCGTGCTCTCGAGCCAGAGCGCCATCGACGGGGTCGCGCCGCCGAGGACGAGGTGCTTGAGGCCGCGCGGGTGGCGGTGCGCGGCGTAGTGCGCGCCCATCATGCCGCCCCAGGAGTGGCCGAGGAGGTCAAAGTCGTGCTGGATGCTGAAGTGGCGGAGGAGGTTGTCGAGCTCGTCGAGGAAGAGGTCGACGGTCCAGAACTCCGCGGGCTTGTTGGCGAGGTGAGTGGACTCGCCATTGCCGATCTGGTCGTAGAAGATGACGGGGATGTTGTGCGACGTGGCGAGGGCGGCGTGGGGGAGCATGTAGTGGTGGGACAGGCCGGGCCCGCCGTGGAGGACGACGAGGGGGCGGACGCCGGACTTGAGGTCGCCGAAGACCTTGTACCAGGTGTGGTAGGTCTCGCCGCTGTATGCAAAGGCGATCTGTCCCGTGCTTTCTGCCATGTCTCTAAAGCTGAGTCGCGGGGGCTCGCTGGGTGGTCTGGTGTGTAAGTGTTTGAGGATGGAGTGGTGAACGGTAATGCGGCTGCGGACGCATGCTCGTCTTTTAGCAGCTCGATTCTGGAGTTTCGAGAAGACATGGATGGCAAGGTCAGTGCTGTGATCTGTACAGCCAGACGATGGCATGGAAGTGGGCCTTGAATTCACTTCGCACAGCGCATCCACATGGGTGGAGTCAGAGCGCTCTAATCCCAAGGACAGGCCTTTGATAAATTGTGTTCGAATCAACAAGGTCAAATCGGGAAGCGCACTTGGCGTCTGCCGGATCAAGCACGTCTCGGTAGCTTTCCGGTTTGCGATGGAGTATCTTGGAAGAACCCGGCCTGGCATTGGCCATGATAATAATCATTGATGCGCCTCGCGCGGGATTCAACATCACATTGAATGCAGCATGACCGATGTCCGAAGACTTGCATTATGTTCGTGCGTCTGATGTCCGTCAACGCGCAAGGGGGTCTGACACACTGCTCCCAGACTCCAATCTGACGGAAATTCCGTGCGGCGGCGTGACCCCGACAACGACCCAGAATTAACGTGCGTCTGATTATAGCCATTTCCAACCGTCGTGAGGCGCAAACTTGCTTCACGGGAATGACTCGACTGATTGGGTTCTGAACTGTGCACGAAGGAGGCTCGGAGCCGCTGCAGGTTGTCGACGCATCTGGTGGGCGACCACGTCCCGCACTTTCGGCGACGTGCTTCCTCATCCGAATGTCTTTTACACGAGAACCGCTGTGTACCCTGGCTGACCATAGATCCGACCATTCGACAACCAGTCGTTTAGTCCTATGGCTGCGACTCGGTTTCTGGTCGTACCTGGGGCCTCAGGAAAGCACCGCTTGAGCGCATTTGGGACAAGGGTCTTTCTCGGAGGCTGATAGTTTCCCCATTGCGCTGGCAGGTGTCAAAACACTTTCACATTCACATCGCGGCGCACTACATACGAAACTTTCATCGAACGATCTGGGTATTTTACATCGCTAGACCCCTCCCCAGCCTCCTCGTGTCTAGACCGCCGCTACCTTAAACTCCAAGTCTCCTCCCGACTCGGACGCGCTCTGTTCTGGCATGCTGCTGCTGTGCACCGCCGGCTTGCGCGAGTCCTCGTCCGCGCCGGTCACGTTTCTCATGAATATCATCGTCGAACTGGCCTTGTCCTTGCCGTTCATCGTGAGAGACGTGTTCTCCGTCCAACTCTTTCCTTGGGCGACTCGGTATATGATCAGCAGCGGCGCGATGACCTAGCGGCGGGTACGCATTAGCTCACGGGCACACGCTGGTCACAGAATGGCGCATACCTGGACTTGGGACAGCGACTGCAGGAAGACGTTTGCCAGCGAGTTGTTCATGCCGAAGGGAATGATGAGGAGGAGCGCGAACGCTGAGTACAGCGCGGCGGACTCGACGATCATCGCGGCAATGCCAGTGTAGTGCGAACCGTGGCGCGGGCCCAGCACGCGCGAAATTCTGTATCGGTACAGCAGCAGGCGGGCAACGATCATAATCGTGACGATGACGTTCAGCGAGACGGCGATGCACAGGTACGGCAGCGTCCAGTTGATCGCCCCCGCCGCGCCGGTCAGATATGGCGAACCGGAGGGTGCAGACACTTGAATGAGGAACAGCAAACCGATGACTGCAGGAGACGGCGTCGTCAGCGTTCTGCTGGCGGCAAGTTGACACCACGTACCGATTTCTGCTGCATACATGAGACAGGGAAATGCGATGGCGAGCCATGGAGGAAAGCGGCCGCCCCTGTAGATCACGCTGCATCGCCAGACCTGTTGTGCGGACTAATGAGCACCGACACGACGAGAGAATGTACGAGAAGCACGGCACCATGAGCGCGTCCGCGAACCAGTTGGTGAGCACGAACGAGACGTTCCCCGCCTCGTCCGCGGGGATCGAGAACTCGACGTTCTCGTACATGCTCGGGCCGCCGGGGATGTTGCGGTACTGGATGAACGACAGCTGCGTCATCTCGGAGCACGCCCCGACGAACAGCGACGCGAGCACGAACATCGCCGAGATGTACGCCAGGTAGAACGCCCGCTTCCGCGCGCCCTCCGCGCCGGGCCGCTTCGCCAGCAGCGCGTGGAAGCACTGCACGAAGAGCGTCACGTTGATGCCGTAGCCCACGCCGGTCAGGATCGCGCCCTGCAGCCATGTTTTCTCGTCGTAGAGCGTGGACGACGGCTCGTCGGGGACCCAGGATGCGTTTGACATTTTCGGCGGCGAGCTTCTTCTTAGGCGGTACGTATTGCCCACCCCTAGCGGCGGCGGCGGCATATAAGTAGTGGCACGGGTATGCGCGCGGCTGTCAGGACGGGTGCAACGTCCCGGAAATATCGTGAGCCATCTGCATCAGTATTGGGTGCTTATGCGGTGCGGGCACTGATGCATCCGTGCGCGCAATGAAAAATACTTACTCTGGCACTTGCAAGCCGCTGACGGCCTACGCCGTGGGTCCCAGCCTGTCATTTATCACCGCGGAACTAGCAGCATCAGCTGGAGGATATCACACGAGTCGAGAATGTTGGGCTCGTCTAGAATAGCTGGCGCGGGCTGGAATCTGCCGGGATGTTGCCGAGGCGGAACTCTAAGTTATCAGCGCACGAACATGCTGGGCGCGCGCAGACATTCAAATTGGGAGTGGGAGATTGATCAGGTGCCTAGTGACCGTGCGGACATCTGCGCCAGCGTCACAATGGGGCTGGCGCTGGTCAAGATTGTCGGGCATGTCGTGGTCACTGGCATGTGGCTTACAGGGAACAAACGCAGGTGCCTGATCATGCGGCCATCATAGAAGAACGCCACGAAAGTGGATCACGGCTGCAGCGAGCTCGACAGACCAACGTCAAACAAATCGAGCAAGGTCGTACAGGTTGACTCCGAGAGAGCATACTCAATATACTACCGCACCCCTCACTCCCTGCCAGCCGCCGACTGCACCCTGGCCGCATACTGCTCGTGATTCCTCTGCGCCTCCTCATACACCGTCGTCCAGTCGCGGCACACCGCGTCGTAGCTCCTGATCGCCGTGCCGACCGAGTTCTTCACGGACTCGATCCGCAGGTTCGGGCGGCACAACACGGACTGGCGGAGGTAGTTCATGCAGTGCCGCAGCAGCGGCGGCGCGGGCACCTGTGGCGCGGCGTACTGCGCGCGTATAACGTCGAGGCACTTGAGCTGGTGGAACAGCGTGACCGTGTACGCGCGCGGCCGCGAGCCGTCCCCGCCGTCGTCATCGTCGTCGATGTAGACAACGTGGCCGCCGGCGGGGATGAGCTTGGCCCACTCTGCGATGCCCTCGGACGTGTTGTGCTGGTAGTGCTCGGTGTGCCCGATGTGCATGCCGACGGGCTCGGTGAAGGAGGGCGCAAACTTCAGGGGCTCTGGGTGCGATGTGTCAGGCCGTGTCCCTGGTCTGAGCGGGAAGAGGAGATAAGTGTGCCTACCATCCACAGTGTGCTTTGCGGGTGCACTTGCCCTGCGCTCCAATCTGGACGGCCCAGTCTGATCGGCGAAATCGGACGATGCGACGAGGAGGATGAGGATGAGGCAGCCCATGATGCAGGCAGCATGTGCCGCCCAGCGCGGCCATGCAACTTCAGAGAGAGACGTACTCATCGAGCGGTTAGGAGCAGCTGAATGGTGCGATGGGGGTCATGCCCATCTGACTTGGCGAGGCCGGTTAAGTGGGAGATGCGGCCGTAGTTGGATATGCATATATGCATACTCACGGTATCCAAGTGGTTCCGCAGCTGCATCTGAGCTCAGAAGACCGACGTCTGCAATTTCCGTGACCGCGCGACATCGATGCGTGTCACTTGGCGTGTTCAGGTTTGTAGGCCCGTTTGGGGTGCGCGTCTGAGCGGATGCAAGTGGCCGGCCAGGAGTCTTGCATTTTGAGAGCCCGCATCGAAGAAACGACCTCCCGACAGCCTCCGACGACCTCCGACGCTCTCCGACCTCGTACCCAGACGTCGGAACCGCGCAGACTGCTATATTTAAGACTCGGAATCAAAATGGCAGTCGGCGGTTGTGTCCAACTATCGCCGCTCCCACTTCCTTCTCCGCGCGCAGTCGCGAGCGTCCACCCGTGTGAGAGCCGTTGAGATTCTGCGGGCATGTTCAAATCAGCCAAGAGGGATCCCAGTCTGCCCAAGGCTGGCCCATGATACATCGTGCATCATGCCTGTATTCTCTTGACACCTCCTGGGGGGAGCCCACCAACCCATCGAATGTTGTGCCCATCTATCAGAAGGAGACAAGCTCTCTAGAAGGCATGATTACAATTTCAAACCCATTCGGTAAATTTTTTATGGGCAAACGGTTCAACAAATGGACGTCTCGTGTCAGAGGAGTTATTCAGTCGTGTAGAGTTGGAGCCCAGCTTATCAGTCAGGACCTGCTGGAGATTGATCGACTGATCACGCAGGGTTCTGGTTACATTTCACCTTGCAGCTCAGGATCATATGCGCCAGAGGCAGTGACGTCTCGACAATACATGCCACAAATATTACAACGCTCAGAATTGATTCATCGACAACTGCTGCTGCCCTTTGGGAGCAATTCGCCGCCAATTGACTCCTTGGATGCTCATATACGCACAAAACCCGTCCCGCGCAGGAACTGTATTAGTCTCTAAACGTCGCACGGATTTGGTGATAGGTTATCCGCTCACGTCACCCAATTGAACGGTCGTGCTTTATGGTGAGCGGCCCCGACTCGTGCACTCCCAGCAGTCTTTCAGCTTGACGATACGGCAGCGCACCACCCTTTCGTTTCTCAGCATGTTCGCTTCCAGATTCCGTTCCGAATACCGGCGGGTGCTAGCGTCCCCGACGGGCGAGGACGACCACGCGTACGACGCCGGCAGCGACGACGAGAAGAAGCCAGCCGGCACGATGCACCTGGGGAGGTTTGCGACGCTCTCTCTCGTCGTCTGCATCGTCTGCACCGTCGCGAACGTGCTCATCGCCTGCAAACCCATGGGCGCCGGCATGAGCATGATGACGATGCGCCCGCCCGCGCCCCTCACTCGGCAAGACATGCACCGTCTCCGGCGGCCCTCGCAGTTCATCGGGCTGGCCGACATTCACCGCCCGGTCCCCCCGGTCCCACGGCAGTTCGACAACTGGCCGATGCTAGTTGCGCAAGTCGACTCCGCCGATAGCGACAAGGTCTTCCGGAGCCACCGCGCACACATGACGCACAGCGGCACCGTCGTCCCCGAAGACCGGCACATCCAAACCACGAGCACGGTCAGCCCCCGCCCACGGCGTGCCCCGTACGATCTGACCGTCTTTTCCGCCAGGTCACCTCCATCGTCCAGTTCCGCGCGATCGACTTTGGGATGGAGACGTGCGAGCTCCGTGTGGTAATCGACCCGGCGTCGTCCTTCACGGCGACTCTCAGGCCGTTCATGCTCAGCCTCTACCGCCTGAACGCCTCCATCCCGCTCAACGCGGCCACGCTGAGCTACAAGACACGCCCCCCGCGCCTCACCGAGATCGACACCGTCGAGGTGAGGGCGGGCGCCGCCCTCGACTGGCACAGGAACTTTGCGTGTGCGACCGAGGAGGTCATCACGATCGAGCTGGCCTGCGAGGTGCCCATCGGCGAGAAGGATTGCGACCTGGAATGGTGGCAGAATAAGGACCTCCCCGCTTCAGGTGTGTGTGCAGTGGGCGCGTGTTTCGGTTCGCGTCTGACTCTGCGTCCAAGCTATCTATATTACGCAGCATTCTACCGTCTAATGGCACATCTGGAGAATAGATTGATTCCAAGTCCTCTAGTCGTCTCGGTTGCTCTGGTGTCATAAATATCTGATGTATGTACTGTAGTACGTCGTAGTGCGAGGTGTTACCATCAAAGTCCTTGAGGCTCTGAATAGCGAGCGGAGGACACAACAATACGAGCTCGGAATGCTTGGAAAATAATACGAGTTGTAGCGTCATAGGCTGCCTGATCCAGCTGATGAGAGATAGATGCTCGCACAAGCGAAAACGATGACTCCTTGCTGAACGAAAATGACACCTGCTGTGTGGCAATGCATCATTCGATATCCACCTCACGATCCCAGGTATAATGCCTGAATATTCTGAACAGAATTCATAATAGCGCGCCTCGTGTTGTTCAAGTTGCCGTTACGATATCAAACTGCATCTGACAGACGTCTACGTGCGCAGACCCCGCCCATTTTGCCGCCTGTTTTGTGCGCCAATCGCAATCTAGGAGTATTTGTAGACTGCATCCTTGACGGCGCATGCTTCCGGAGTGCGTCAATGTGAAGAGGAATGAATTCGCTGAACTCTAAGCTCAAGGCAGCCCTTCTCCGACGGATGATTCGGGAAGGGGCAGCACCACAGAAAAGGTGCTTTCCGCGAAGGGTCAAGGTGCTTGCTGGACCAATGACCTCGCCAAACGTATACTTCCGGGTGCACTCTTTCCGCTACTCCGGATATTCAACACCTATACGAGGGGAGGTTGTGAAATGGGTGAGAGCAGAGATGCACACCAGGTTTTCCGTGTCTACACTGAGTTTTGCAATGGAACCACAAGGCAGACTCGTCTGATTCATGGACTCGACTGCATAAAAGGCTGAGCGACCGACTCGGGTACGAGCAGTGTCCCAGCTACGCGCTTTCCACCCACTGCACGACTTACCATGTCGTTCTTCAAATCCGTTTTCACCACCATTCTCCTTGCCGCCGCACTTTTGATGCATGCCAATGCAGCCCCCCAGGCCGAGCCGGATTGTGGCGGCAACAACGTTGAAGATGCCCCAGCTCCGTAAGTAGTACATCCGTGTCGACTTCAAATAGGGCACCGTTGATCTCACTGTCGATTTTCACAGCTAATGGCTGTGTATGGTTGTCCTCTGTGATCGATCGTGCGCAATGTCATGAAGAACATGTAGGTCGTACAACCAACACACAACGTTTACCTACAGACTAATGCACTCGTACCGCTCATAGGGGGGTGCTCAGACGGAATTCGGCGTCTATGAGTTCCGTCTGGATTGTGCTGTGTATAATACAGTTTCACGCTTCATCTGTATTTGACAAAGCATTTCAATGTGAATGCGTTAGTCTGTCGCAGAAGCGCAGAGCGGCGAGAACCGACGTTGTCTGCAGAACACTGGCCAAATATCTCGCATCAAGTGTTGTCCATGCCACCCAACCGCAATGTTCGGGGCCGCGTTGGAAGTCGACATCGAGGTCGACTCTGAGAATCTATGGTCACCAGTATTCGGATCACAAGACTCGGATGCCCTTTTCGCTGCTGAAATACGCTTCAATTGATCTGTACACGCGTCATAAGTACGGAAGCGGCACTTGGAATGAATCAAAAAACTTGGGATGTTGAAAACAGAACGGCATGATCGTGCGGCATGCCGACTCGGACTTACCGTCATGGTCGTCCGTATCTTTGTGCTACGAAGTGCGCAGACAGCTGTAAAATGAACTACACCTTGCTTCTCGCACCATAAGCGATATGATTTGAGGCGTGACGAAGGCTGTCCTGCTTTAGCTGGGAAACGCAATCTTCATACCGTATAGTGAGAATTTCAGGTTCAACAGAGTCCGCTAAGTGTGAAGCAAAGCGTAGAACAAATAGAGTCTACCATCTACATGCAATACCCTTCACTCAGCGTCGGCAAGGTCCTAGAGGAGCGTCACGGTTCAATATTCAGACGCTCAGTGACGCATCGGTTGTACCGCGCCACCAGCCCGCCAGATGGTAGCGGTGAATTGAGCTGAGCATTGAGCACTGGGCACGCTTATATTCTGCCACCTAGTCGTAGTACACACGCATGAGGGAACAACTGATACAAGTAAAGTAACGTCAACGTCGTTGACCAACTGCGATCCTATCATACTCGCACAGCTCAATTCCACTGCGCAGCCCATGCGCTCCATTCTTTATCATCCCGCTCCAGATTCTCGTAGAGCTTTTGCCAGTCCTTGCACACCAACGTGTCCCCGATGCGCTCTTTCTCAAAGTCCCTTTCCATGAAGTCGCCGAGCTCGAGGCTCTCAGCGCTCTCGCACATGAACGTCTGCCGGAGATAGTTTAGACAGTGGTAATCGTGGTCGGGAGAGGACCCGGGATGTCCAGGAGTGAGCAACGTATAGTGGAACTTCCAAATGCAGTGTAGCTGGTGGAAGAATGTGACGACGAACATCCGGTGGTCCGGGCCAAGTCGGGGGGTTCCAAAACCGTGGGGGCGAATAGCGAGGGAGCGCCACTCTGTGTCGGAGAGGGGGTCGCTGGTATTTAGTGGATAGTGTACAGTCTCATGAAGTGTCATGGCGACTGGTTCAACGAGAAGGTCTCCAACAGGGTACTCGAGGGGATAATCGTCCCCGACGTAGCTATAATTGACGACTGGTGTCTCTTCTGGATAGGGCGAGCCAAGAGTAAGATGATTGAGAGATGGTGGTGTACGATTCATGAAAGTTTCTTACTGTCACAGGGGTTGAAAGTGTGCTTCAAGGAACCCCAAATGAACCACACAGCGACGAGTGCGCTCAAATGGATACAGACACGAGTAAAATATTGGAATATCACTGTACCGACCCGACTGTGGTACGAATAGCGTTCAATGGAGGCGGTCATGTCTGAAGGGCGAGGGGATGCCTACGCACAATCGAGGGAGAGACATTTCGCACGTAGGTGAGACTGTAGACTCCAAGTAGACTTGGTCCCTGTCCCTTGGACCGCGAATAGCGCAGGTGGATACCCTGCGTTATCTCAGAACCCTAGTGCCTCCCAGCTGGGTGGACTCAGATGTTTACGAGTTGCCGCATGACTTCAAAGAACGGTCATTTTGGCGCGACCACCGGACGAATGCAGCTATCATGGTATGCAATTCGATAAATGCAGCTGTCATTGCACAGATACGCATTTGAATGCTTACCAGCATTGAATCCGAATCGATGACTGGAATATAGCTCAGCAGCCATAACGCGTTGATGATCATCAACTGTGTACAAGATCATCTGGGCTATTCTGATACCGACATCTTGGCGTCTACTAAATCAGCACCACGAGGTGATCCGTCAAAGATAGAACAAGTGACATACGCATCTTGACAATGTCATACCGTCAAACTGGGTGCGATATTCACGGCAAGTCTCGTGCCATTGAGCAGAGCCAAATTCTTCCGATAGGCACTGTCGTGAGTGGCACGGCCAAGTTGGGACCATATCTTCAATGCGCACAGGAACAACAAGAAGCCACTCTCCGCGTCTCCATAGTTTTGGTTATTGCGGCCGAATCTGGATCCACAAGCGACCTCCTCACCTGTGGATATCACACTTTGGGTACAGGTATTTACCCCAGCCACTTCCGCCTTGCCTTCAATAAGTTACATTTTCCAGAAGCACCCGGTTCACAGGGCTGGAACAGAGTGGCCAGAACGCCTGCGCGTTATATCCCAGCCGAATTTGAAAAAGGTGATTCGAATTCGTTTTCCTGTCCGAATGTAAGTGTCTCTACGTTCGGTGTCCAGTCCTTTGTTCGCTACTTATTTCTGAGTGCGGAAATTCAGCACAAAGAAGAGGAGGGCCTCATCGCACTCGGGTATCCGATCTAAATTGCCATGATATGAAGCGTGTTCTTCCGGAATGCAGGCCCTCTATCGACTCCTCATCATCGAATGGACTACATACTCAAGAAGGTGTCTAAACCCTACCATTTTCCGTAGAAGCAAAATCAGACAATCAAAGCAGCGTGGAGAGCTCCACGCTTCCAAGGAAGGCTCACATTGACTATCTCATTCCACATCCATTCGACATACAATTTTCGTCACGTACGCCCATATACGTGTGATGTTCCGAGCGTAGCACTAGACACGCTTTCATGACGCCGATTGGAACCACCAGTCACGGACATCGGCGGATAATACTGACCATTCATTTCATCGAAAGCTGCTTCTTGCATTCAAAGGCGTTGTGGTCCAGTACCGAGACGTCTGGGTACGAGACCAAGGCAGCGGTCTTGTCAGCGGGACAATGTTTGATGCGGCGTGCAAGAGGTGATCATTGGCCGCATACAATCGTCCCTGACGAATCTAGAAACCATGAGGGAGTTGGGAATTATCAGGTGGAGTAGCTGAGGTTCTCAGTTGGCGGCAAGGCCAGGGTTCGACTTCGTATTCTCGAATACCTTGATGATGTAGTCATGAAGAGGCTCTGCGAAGCAATTGAAGTCCTGCTGACAAGTGCACCTGGTCGAAGTTTGACAGCACAACAGGGAATAAAAAGACAAGAAGGCCTCAGATAGTACAGCTCACGCTATCGCGCATTTGCCCAGCCATTCACCATGCATTTCTTCAAATCGCTGTTGTCCATCCTCGTCATTGCTGGAGGGCTCGCGATTACTGCCAGCGCACGGCCGGACTTGCCTCCTGAATGCAATGGCTTTGACGAGGGTAGCCTCCGTGAGTTTCATAGGTTATGGTTTCTTGTCCAAAACTGCTGATGATTTGTGATATAGCCGATTCCTGTTTGTCGTGCTGTTAAATTCAAGCCGCAAATCACAACCCAGACAGATGGTTGCAATGGAGGATGTTGTAAATAAAGGGTAAAGCATGTAAGGGAGGAAAGAGGTTCAAAGCTTGGAGGCCCATTTGTAGTATTTTGCATCGAGGAATTCGTACGACTTTTGGAAGGAACTTTGCAGTTACAATGATCACAGCGTAGCATGTCGCGGCCGATGCTTCATTCGCGGCAGAAGGTGGAGAGTAGGGGTGTGATGCGCATGTGCATGTGTGCTTGTCACCTATGGTTTCCAGGAGAAACAGGTCTAACGTGTTCCAGCGATGACGCGTCTAGAGGGCGAGCACGGGCCCGTTGTTGGTTCGCTCGGTAGCGCTGACTTGTCCCCCACCTTCCTGCACTCCTCCCTCCTTCTCTTCGGAGACTGCGTTCCGTGAAGTGTCCCAGCGAATCGAAAATGACAGGTTCAGACTCGGGTGCACGTTATCACTCGCTCCACTCGGTTGCAATTTGTGCTCGACGTCGTTGAGGCGAAGAAGAGCGTGCCTCTCTATGTCATCTTGTTGCTCCTCACATGAGGCGACAGCCGACGCGCAGAGCGCAATGTCTCTTTTTCTACTCAGACCGCCCTTGCCTTTGGTATGGCCTGAGGAGCATTTGAGGGTTGGGAGGAAGGAAGAACACAATAGTCGTCGGACGCAAGATCGGTGAGTTTTCTTCGTTAAAAGCTCGCAAACACAAGATGGAGCCACATGCATCAGTTCGAAAGCAATACATTGTTGTTTGTCTCAGCTGCACAAGTCACTTGGCTGTGCAATGAACTAGTCTTGTCTGCTCTTGCTTACCATCCCCACGCGGACAGATATCTCGTTGAAGATACGCAAGGGACCACTTGCAATTGCGGTGTACGCCGCCACAGACATCAAGATCGTCCTTGAACGTCACTCGTCTTGAGCTATACCCCCTTCATGCTCGTTTATACCATACATATTCCCTGCGCGGCCTCTCTTCGCCTCCCAGCTTCAACCTCCCTGCCACAATCGTCGCTCTCTGGTACCCATACTCTTCATCGTGAAATGCTCTTATGACACTCATGCCGCTCCACCTCCCAGTAATTCACAGCTGCCTAGAAGCTATCAAGCGGGGCGGCTACTCCCGCCTGCCCCGCCAGACATCCGCGCGAAACGCATGTGAGCCTCCTGGCCCCATCGCGCCTCCCAGTCCCGAGTCTGGTTACGCTGCATTTACGACAGTATCCACAGATGAACTAGCTCGCCTCTTATCATCGAAAATGACAATGACTTCAGCTTCCCAATCGAGTCTCATACCACGCCTCCGAGCACCCTCGCCGCACTCGCACGCCAACAGGGGACCAACGACGTACGCGCTGTTCGAGCAGCCTGCGTGTACTGGATGTTCGCAGACTATCTGCGAAATCTAGCGATAGGACCCTGCGCGGAAGGGTGGTACGGAGTTTGTCTCGGTCCGCTATACCGTATGTCCATATCGCAGACAACAAGGGACTTGCCATTGCACGTCATTGTGAGCGCTTTTACTACTTGCGCATTCATGCGGCAGCCTCTCTCTCCTCCCGGACGAAAGACGAAAGACGAAAGACGCCATGGATCGGGATGGCGAATTCTCGGTGTCGTCGTGCTTATGCTTGCCGTCTACAATGGCTCCCCATAACTTGTCCATGGATGGCTATCCTCCTTGTATGATCTGCATCGAGAGGGATATGCGGTGAGGCTCCATTTTTGAGAAAAATGCGTCGACAATCGCTCCTGCTCTTAGAGGAAACAGCAACATGCTGGAGAGCAGGTGCGATGTTCTGCATTGACGGTAGTCGACATGGGAATAGGAACGCATAGAATCATACGAGGTCCATCCTCTGTGTCATTCTCCCGGAGTATTGTGTGGAAACACTCCTGACGGTTGTTTCCTGTCATCTTTCAGATGGAGCTGGGCTCAGTGAGTAGTATATAGGGTTGACCTTTATTCTTCTCGTGCATTAATCTCTGCTGCTCAGCGATATGCTCTGCCGCTGTTTTAGGCGAATGAAACCTACGTGAATGCCATGTACGCACGTGTGACTGCGAAATGGTAATCACGAAAAATTGTTCAATGAAGGCAGCGCTGGAGGTCATGCAGGCGTCTTCATATGCTCGCCCATCGTTAGCGCGAACCAGACTTCATTTGTTGGCACTCCAACATGCGCCTCAACATCTTCTCCTCCCAAAGCTGCTAATAACTCTCCCCAACAGTTCAGTATTTGGACTACTGTGTCGGATATTGCGCACCTTCAAGTGACGTGGTAACGATACTGCCAGTTCCTCGCAGACCAGCCAGGTCATCACTGCGCAAGCTCGCTCTGAACGGCCGCCGTCCAAATAGATAGATATATTGGCGTAGACGGGGACGCATACGCACATGGCGATGCTCGCCTAGAGTTGTAATGTAGACCATATTTGTCCCAATGGCATCTGGTTCGACGAATGCCCACCCAAATGCAACGCGCGGATTCAAAGACGACAGCGAAAACACCGCACGGCAGATGTGGTGGGCGGGCATACACTTGGCGTTCTGTTTAGATGCGGAGCTGGAGAGTGGAAGTCATGCATGGCGCGGGGGACACATGACGGGCAGATGGGAAAAGGCCTGGAGGTTTCACGGAATCGGGAAAGAGGCCGAGAGCTCGTATGCACTCATTGTGGCTAAATACCGCATCTAGCGTTCCTTTCCGTTCGTACGACGAGCCATATCCAGCGCGCGAGTCCAATCCCGTCAAGTTCGACAAGGATAGCGACTCAGGTACAGAGCCGAACAAAGACATATGTGCAGCCTTCTGAATGTCGAGGTGGAGGTCAAATATTCGTGTCGATAAGGCGGAATGGCCCTAAACTTAACTTGTGTGAATTTGAGCTTAAGTTCGTCGGTGTAGGAGGTCGTCAGTATGGTTGATCGCACAGTATTAGTAGTGGAGGTTATGAAGCGCCAAGACTTACCCTTCTTTGACAACGACCGACAGATACACGCAATCCACTGCAAAGTTCGAATACTTATATTTGCCTTGACAAATGTCCAAAGGCGCCATAACTGGACTGATGGGATGAGAGATAAGGTAACTCGAGGGGAGGCTTTGATGTTGAGCAATTGCAGGATATTTGTGGGAACAATGGAGCCTTCGGGAAAGGGATTTTATATGCAGATGCCCAGGATCAGCTCAAAAATCTGTGTCTGGAGTGGAGGGATGGGTGTGAGAAGTCACAGAGAGTTTGTGTACAGTGTGGAGGGCAATACTATCATTGCACCAGTAATGCAATCACAACAGTAGTGCAATTACTGAACTTGAAGCTGCTCATCCCCCTCTAAAAATCCCAATAAATCATGTATGATGCAAAATACAATTACCATTACTATTGTGTGATTATTGTATGAATAAAAATATGAGAGCAACTTGAATGCCTTGCAAGTGTGCTTTGAGGACCATGTCTCTGCCAAGATTGGCCTTGGGTGGGCAATCACCATGTCTGATTGACATAATAACTCACCATGGCTATGTAAAGAACATACACACCTCTATTCTAACTTCTCCAGAATAATATGCATAGTGAACCCCTCCTGAATCCTGTGTCAAACAGTAGCAACTCAATTCTGTGACATATAGCTACAATCAACATCATGAATCTTGACTCAGCTGATGTAGTGGTGGTGTACTTCACATTACTTCACAGTCCAGCCACCAAACACTGGGCAGACTGTCAAGGTTGCGCCCTTGACCCTAACCCTATATCTAACCCCAGTACTC